TCATGTTGTCTGCCTTTAAGCGCGAAACACATGTACGACGAAAACCTTCCGATCCGACGTGCGGACTGCCGGAATGACCTTGGGGGGAGAGGGTTTTCGTAGCATCGGAGAGCGTTGAAAACCCTCGCCTCCGACCGTCGTATTGCGCGGTCGGACGTCGGATCGGACGGTTTCGTCGTACATGTGTTTCGCGCTTTAGTGAGTTCTGACTCAAGTGGCAGGTTTCACGGCAGGCGCCCCTGGATTGATCTCGCAGCTGCGCGCCTGTTCGCATGGTCGCCTCGTCGTCAGCGCGTACTCCCTTGCAAAGCCGAACTCCCCCGCGCACAAACGCAGACACGGATAATCCGTTCATGGGAGCACGTTCCCACTTCCAGCTGCAACTGTACGAGCGCCGATGCTTGTTCACGTAATCCTTCGCGTCCTTACGACCTTCCACGCCAGAAGGACCTCCTCTTTGTTGAAAACGTTTTACTTGTCAGGCGCGTCAGGCGCGTCAGGACACCGTAGTCGCCGGCGAGGATTGCGAGTCACCCTTGGGAGATCGTTTTGTTGGAACCGCTCTTCTGTAAAATCAAAGCATTTTTTTTTCAGTTGCGTAGCACTAACACTGCAACGAGACGCGCAGTCGTCCGGATGATCTCATCGTCGTGGCGCGAGACTTGATCCTTTGACGGTCAGGTGCACTCGCTCAGCGAACTCTCCGAACGTCGTGAGAATAAAGAGGGGCCAGTCATAAACTCAACTTGCCGAAGAAAAATAAAACGAAGAGTTTGTTATAAAAGACCCTCTAGGCCGAGGCAAGCCTCACATGCTTCGTCATGGACACCAAGTATGTCGACACTCGCTTACCCGACCCTGTACAGCCTGTTTCTGAAATTGAACGCGGCCTTTGCATCCAGCGCCACGGTGGAACGTCTGTTTAGCTTGGCTGGGGACGTCATTAGAAGGAAAAGGGGAAAACTTTCCGATAAGAACTGTGAAAGACAATTACTTCTGCGAGCGAATAAACTATTTTGGAAGTCATAAAATGACTGCATTTATTTTAGGCTCGCAGGGTTTTTTACGGATCAAAACTGCAGTCCATTTTGCTACCACAAAAATATAAAAAGTAACTTCGAAAGTAACTTCAAAGTAACTCCCTACTTTTTAAAGTAGTTAGTAGTTTACTCAATTACTATTAAAAATGCGTACTTTCTACTCTACTCCAATTACTTTTGGCGTCGATACTCAGTAACTTATCTTAACTACCTTTTTTGAGTAATTTGTACATGTCTGGTTCGGCCTTAGCATGGAAATGAACGAAGGGAGCGAACGTCAAGCAGCCCTCGACGCGGGCCGTTCGACGTTCTTCGAGGATGACTTCCGTTGAGATAATCTCTGAAAGGCCTTCCCGGGTACGTTCCCGGTTTTCGCGAAAAAATAGCTGATAGGGTCGGGTCCGGTGTATGAAGTCAGATTAAACCATAGCCACCTTTATACCAGAAAGCCTGTTAGAACCCCATAAAAGGCAGTCACGGAAAAAGAGAGAGGAAAGGCGGAGAAAGAGAATGCCCAAAGCGTCCTGGAGGGAATCTCTTTGGGGCGCCACCACAACGCGAGCGCTCAAATCCAAAAACATTCCAGTTATTTTTTTTTTTTTAGAGGAGAAACATGACGCTGGCCTACACCCTTCTCCTCTACCTCCGTGCAACAGTCACCGCATCCTTTCCGCGATGCCTCGCCGCCACCACGTTTGGGAGTGGAGAAATAGCGAAAGAGAGAAAATAAATACAAATGCGTTTTGGGGAGAGGCCGCTAGGTTCCCTGGCGCTGATGAGAGATCGCCCCCTGCGCTACCATTGCTCTAGCCGTTTTGCCAGGGGCAGTCTCGAACGAAGCGATTTACAGCGCGCGTCCCTGATTTTGAGAGTGTACGTCAGTGTTGCCCGACGGCGCTGGGCTATGGGTTTTCTCGTGCGTAGGCGCAATTCCGGACGCTTGTGGCGGCTAAATTAATGCGTTTTATGGTTTCTTTTGTGTTCCATGGCGAATATGATTTTTCTAGGTTTTTAAGAAAGCATTGTACTATTTTTGTAAAAAAAAAAAAAAAATGAATGCTTGCTTTTGTGAGTGTCTGGGCGACAGAACAAATGCCACTGGAATGTTTATTTCATTTTATGTGATTTTTTTTACGACACCATACACTCACCCGTGTCAATCTACAAAGGTCTTAACTGTCGAAAATATTTGACCGCACAGGATAGCCGAAATTCATGGGTATTCTCCGCTCACAACGCGAAATTCAACGAGTCTCATCAATCGAACAACATATATTGTACGTCCCGCTTAGTGCCGCGTTATCCGAACAGGATTTAAGAAAGGTCTCAAATAACACAGGATATCCAATATACAGTGTCAACGACAGTCACTTTGCGGTGATCGGACGGAATCGTTAATTTTCTTTGGTGCTGTGTAAAAAAAAAGCAGCTCCCTTCAAAACGTGCCCCAAAACAAGCCGAATTCCGTCCGACCGTCGTGAAGTTACTATCGTCAACACTGTATATTGGATATGATGTGTCATTTGAGACCGGACTCAAATCCTGTTCGGATAACGCGGCACCGTGGGGTACGTACAATATATGCTATTCGATTGATCAGACTCGTTGAATTTCATGTTTTGAGCGGGGAATGCCCATGCAGTTCGGCTATTCTTTGTGGTCAAATTTGTTTGAGAGTTAAGACCCTCGTAGATTGACACGCTGAGAGCATGGTGCCGTAAAAAGCAAATTAAAATGAAACACACATTCCAGTTGCAGTTGTCTATCGTGCACGGGTTCACCAAAAATAGCTTTTATTTGTTTGTTTTTGTTCCCAAAAATGGTACAATGCTTTTTAAAGACCTCGATAAATTATATTCGTCACAAAACTGAAAAGAAACAATAAGATGTGTTAATTTAGCCGCCACCAGCGTCCAGAATTGCGCCTACACAGGCTGCCACAACCCACTGACGAAAAAACCCACAGCCCAGCGCATTCGGGCAACACTGACGTACACTCTCAAAACCAGGGACACGCGCTGTAAATCGCTTCGTTCGAGACTGCCCCTGGAAAGGTACAAAATAATTACAATCATTACATTACGGCGCAATACACCCGCGTGTGCCTGAGTTAATTTCAAAAACCAACTTCACCAAGGCACGTCTCTTATGTCAACGTTTCGTGACTGACGGAGCCATTGCGTGCTATAGACTTTTCCAAAAAGAGCTCTCCGGACGACGCCATTTTGCGAATCTCACGACCCCTATCAGCCAAATATTTCTCCCACCCCCCTTGGCTGTGGAAACCTGGCCGGCGCGATTCTCCACATGCATTGTACATTCGGAGTTTGCTGTCATTTCTTGAAAGTCTTTACTATTTCTGCATATTCAGGACGCTTACCTTTTTTGTGTTATCTGCAACTGTGAGCACCTGGGAATACTAATACTCGTAGCCTGCTCGGCCTTCACGGAAAATGACCAAAGAAAGCGAACGTCGTCCGGCCCGTTCTTTGAGAATTTTCTCCGCTAAGATAATCTCTGAAAAGCCTTCGCAGTCTTAGCGAGCAATAGCTCATCGGGTGCGGGGTAGGGGGACAGTTCAGACACATCGGTCTCTTTGCTTCAGCGCTCTGCAAAAAGCAAGCTCTCTTCGAACGTGCCTTACACCAAATTGAGATTTTGTGTCTTCTTGACCGTTATTTTATTCATCCTTGCCTCAGGGTTTAGATTATTATGTTTCCTAACCAGCTGGCCTGCATACTTTCGCACCTTGCAAGTCCAGATTACGTCCGATCGTCGTGAAGTGACTGTCGTCGATACTGTAGGTTGGATATGTTCTTTTATTGGAGATCTTTCTCAAATGAACCCTGTTCGAATAGCGCGGCATCATAGTGTACGTACAATGCGCTGTTCGATTGATGAGACTTACTGAATTTTATGATGTGAGCGAATAATACCCATGCCCCTCGGCTATCTTGTGGCATCAAATATTTTCACAGTTAATACCTTTGTAGATTGGCACGGCTGAGTGCTTGGCGGCGTAAAAAATCTGGGTAAAACGCCGCAAACATTTCAGTTGTGTTCGATCTGTTGTGTAAGGACTCATAGAAATAGCTTTTAGTTGTTTCTATGTGTTCCCAGAGATGGTAGAATGCTTTCTCAAAGACGCGAGAAATTTCGTTCCTCATAAAACACAGAGAATACTAAAACGCAGCAAATAATCCGTCTCCAGTGCCAGGAATTGCGCCTTCGCAGACTGCCACAGCCCGCTGACGAGAAAACCTACAGCCAAGCGCCGTCGGGCAACACTTATGTAGACTCTCAAAACCAGGGACGCACTGTAAATCGCCTGGTTCGAGACTGCCGCTGAAGTAACCATTCGAGGACCCGCAAAAATAAACAATGAAAAAACTTCTACATGTTAGCTATAAGAAACAAAGTAAACTAACCGTTTATTTTCGTAACATTACCCCCTAGTTCGTCGATGTTAGCTCTCTTTCGGGGTAGTGCACACCGCGCGGTGTCCTTGCTTCTAGACAGCGGGTCCTCTGTCGACAAGGCCAGACAGGCAGAGGTAGCGTGCGCCCGTGTGTTCCGTCCGGAGCAAATGGCCGAACACGGCGCTCACGCGAGCGGAACAAATGAAGGACCCGAGCGGGGCGGCTAAAAATAACGAAGCCGGTCCGCAGCCGCACGCGTGGCCTCGGACGCCGCGGATCAGCCGGAGAAATATGGCCGGCTTAGCCCAGCGCGAGGAAGCCCGGACTCTCGCTGAGTCTCCCGTGCGCGCAACTGATCGGCTGTTGCTGGCGATCGGTTCTCGTAGCCGAGCGAGCGGGGCCAAACCCCTCCGAGGGCCTCCGCGGCCCCGGGATGAGCCAATATCGGCGTCGGCGGCAAAGCTCGGGGGTGCCATCGCCCGGGTAATAGCGACTGCGCGGCTGATTGATGGCCTCACTGCGGTAATTGTCGTTGCCGCAGGTCCGCGCGCTCTACCCGCACATTGGCTTCGAGCTGGTGAGCCGGCGCGGCTACACGTCCTGCATCAACAACTACGCGGGAAACTACGCGGCCGAGGAGTTCTTCGGCGGTGGTGTGACGGCATTTGTCGGGCCCGGCTGCTCGATGGCCGTCGACTCCGTGGGGCGGCTGGCCTCTTACTGGAACGTACCCGTGTGCACGGCCGCTGGCGTGGGCGCGCAGTTCGAGGATCGCACCATCTACGGCACCCTGGTGCGGCTGGCGCTCACCATCAATGCGCTGCGTGATGCCTTCCTCAAAGTGCTGCGCCACTTTGGCTGGCAGCACCTCGTGGTGCTCTCGGACAGCTCCCAGTCTTTCTTCCGACAGCTGCGCCGCGCGCTCGAGGGCCTGTTTGCCGACCCGGACGCCCGCGTGCGCGCTGTCTTCAGGGACTTCGACTCAAGCCGCTCGACCGTCAACTACACGTCCCTGCTGGTCGACGGCTCCTCGTACGCGCGTGTGTTCCTGCTGGCGGGCGACGGCGAGGTCATCCGCCAGATGCTGCTGGATGCCTACGACCTGAACATGCACGACGGCCAGTTTGCCTTCCTAACTGCGGAGCCGTACAAGAACGAGCGCTACTTCGGCGAGTTCTCCTGGTACAAGGAGGGCGACCCGCGCAACCCGGTTAGTCATTGCGCCACACCTAAGACCACCGTGATTGCTCAAAGCGCGCGCGCTTCGCTTCTTTGCGCAGGAGGCCCGAAAGATGTACGAGGCCCTGATGATCCTATCCCTCAAGATTCCCACGAGTCCAGAGTACAAAAACTTCGTACGCCAGGTGGTGCGCGACTCCAGGAAGGAGTTCAACACCAGCATCGACGAGACGATTGTGAGCGAGGTCCCTGGTGCGGGCTGGCGCTTCTGACTAAGCGATATCCGATGCCTGCAGGTGAACGTGCTTATCGCGGGATTCTACGACTGCGTCCAGCTGTACGCTTGGGCACTGAATGAGACCTTGGCCCACGGTGGTGACCCCATGGACGGCCGCGCACTCATCGATCTCATAATGAACAGCACTCGATACGGTATCACATTTTGATGTTTTCTTGACAAAGATTTTCAGGGAACCACCTTCGGCAAGAAACAACTGCGTAGAAACCTTGGAATAAAAAAGGCATCCACACAGTGCGTAGTAAAATATTCTCAGTTATGGTTATGAGTGCTTACATAGACGGTTGGCCTGTAGCAACATAAACGAGGGACGTTCATGACGTTCGTAATATCGTCACCCAAAATTGAAGAAAAAAAAAATGAAGAGAACATTCATTAACACGAGCGCGCGGCCCTCTAGTTTCGGCTCTGTATAAGCATCGCGTGATATAGTACCGCGGCACGTCGCTAGGGCCTGGAAACAAAAATGGCACCTCCCGCCGGGAAGGTCGAAGCGCGTACAGTGATTCGTCTTCTCCACTTGAAGGGAAGAAATGCCAAGGAGATTGATTCCGAGCAGGTGGCGGTGTTCGGGGGCAACGCGCGTGTTTATGACACTGGGGTGAAATGCCGCAGACGCTTCCATTGTGGGCAAACGAGCCTGAAAGCATTTCAACGACGACGACCCAGTGATTGCTGAAGGGGAGCAATTCCCGAAAAATCAAAACGAGTTCTATAACAATGACCTCCGGCAGGTTGTCCATATCACTGGCAAAAGTGCGTGACTTTGGGTGGCGAATATGTGGAGAAAGACATAACTTTTACCCAAGTCTCATTGCTGAATCTCTATTCCTTCAATGCAATAATATGAACTTTATGAATGCTCCTCGTATAATAATAATAATAGTAATAATATTATTTGTACATTATGAATGCAATAATGACGCAAGGCCGGTTCGTCAAAGGCGGCAAGGGCTTGTGTGACTGTACCCGAGTAGCACTGGTGACAGAATAGTCTAAAAAAAAGAGAGAAAACAAACAAACAGTGGAGGACTTGAGCAAAAATGACGTCAGTTGTCACGATGAAAAAGACAATCACAAAAACTAAAGGTCACACAAAAGTCACACACACAAGCCTGAAGCTTTTGTCAAACACGCATGTTGCATAAAAAAAGACAAAAAAAACAACAAAAAAAAAACACTAAGAAGCATAACAGCATCGTCAGTTCAATTAGCGTCGAAAATAATAATAAAATGGCTGAGAGAAAAAAAAAAAGTATTATTAACCTAGAATGAAACTACGCCTCCCTTAGACAAATTATTAATGTATCTTCTTCATTCCAATACAAATGGCGTAGAACTTTTCTAATCTTCTTTTTGGATGTGATATCTGAAAAATGGGGCGATAAAGAATTAAATAGTTGCGGAACATAAAATGAATGAATTTTTTTGCCATACCGAGTGTACCAACTCGGAAGGAGGTATCGTGGAGCCTTGCTGAAACTGCCTTTAGACCGGGCGAAGGGATTTAGATTCATCATTCCAGTTGTGATTAAATACCACTGTCTCCAAGAACAAATATAAAAAATTGGGCATTAAGAGCATTTGGAACAAAATTTAAATTGGAGGACGTAAGATTATAGTATACATCTCTTAGACTTCCCTTCAAGATGCTGCTCACCTTCGTTTGCCATAAGCTCGAGCATTTGCCAGAAATAGCTATATCACATCGCAAGTTGCTCTAAGCTAAAGAATAAGCACTACGCTTGCGTACACCACGAGGCATAAATGTTTTGATATGATAAAGTAAACAGAAACACTCCTTAGTTTTGAACATATTTTTGTGAGGTGAGAGTTCCATGATAGGGCTGAATCTAAGAGTATTCCAAGGTATTTTACGGTGTATTAATATGTTAATAAAGTATAAGTATGTTAATAAAGTAAAGTATATTAATAAATAAAGTATGTTAATAAGTATGTTAATAAAGTAAAAGTATGCTAATATTAATCATAATAATAATTGTGTTGTGTGTATGTTTAGACAGCCTGAAGTTAGTCAGCCACAATGGGCATCTGGTGTCTCACCTGTAGATGGGAAATTTAGCCTGTGCAGTACAACCGTTAACCTGGAGTCTTTATCAAGCACCACGGAGCATACCTTGGCAAACCTCTCATGAGGGCCCTTACTCACCCTCATCTTCACGGGTGAGGTGACGGTGAGTGAGTTTCTGAACCAGGAAAATTCATGAGTGTGATGGTGAGTGAGGGTTGTGCCGACTCTGAGGACCGTGAGTGCGTGAGGGCCGTGAGGGCGGTGAGTGCGTGAGTGGCGTGAGGGCCATGAGTGCGTGAGGGGCGTGACGGTGGTGAGTGCCGTAAGGGCCATGAGTGCGTGAGGGGTATGAGGGCCGGGAGGGCGGTGAGTGCGTGAGGGGTGTGAGGGCTATGAGTGCGTGAGGGGCGTGAGGGCGGTGAGTGCGTGAAGGGTTTGAGGGCTATGAGTGCGTGAGGGGCGTGAGGGTGGTGAGTGTGTGAGTGGCATGAGTGCGTGAGGGGCATGAAGTGTGTAAGGGCGGTGAGTGCGTGAGGGTGGTGAGTGCGTGATGCCCCCTTCAGACGGAGCAACTTTCTCAGCAATTTTGGTGTTGCCTAGCGGGTTGTTCCCTAGCTTTCCCTAGATCGACACGAATTGCTGAGATCGGGTCCGGCTCGAAACAAGCGAGCAACTGGGAGCAATTCGAAGACGTTTGAAGCGGCTGCATGCAATCAGGGACGCGATATTTTCAAGTGATAGCTCGTGCCGGTGATGATGACAACAAAGGACTTGGTTCTGGTTTGAAATTGACCATTTTTGGGAAATGAACTGTTTCAGAAAGATGCATTAGTAATGCAAATGAGATTTAAATACATAAAAACACGTTTATAGCGCGTAATTGTGTGTCTAAATAGTGCAAGAAAAATAAAATTTCATGATGATGATGGCAAATTGCAGCAATTGGTTGCTGGGTGTGAACGCGCGTGGCCCGTGTTGCTGGTGTTGCGATGGCAAGTTTCTGGGCAAAATTCACCCATCTGAAGCGGGCCTGACAGGCGTGAGGGTCACGAGTGCGTGAGGGGTGTGAGGGGTATGAGGGCCGTGAGGGCGGTGAGTGCGTGAGGGCCGTGAGGGCGGTGAGTGTGTGAGGGGCGTGAGAGCCATGAGTGAGTGAGGGGCATGAGGGCGGTGAATGGCGTGAGGGCTATGAGTGCGTGAGGTTCGTTAGGGGTATGAGTGTGTGAGGGCCGTGAGGGCGGTGAGGGGCGTGAGGGCCATGAGTGCGTGAGTGCCGTGAGGGCGGTGAGTGCGTGAGGGGCATGAGGGCGGTGAGTGGCGTAAGGGCGGTGAGTGCCTGAGGGGCGTGAGGGCGGTCAGTGGCGTGACGGCGGTGAGTGCGTGAGGGGCGTGAGGGCCATGAGTGACTGAGGGGCGTGAGGGCGGCGAGTGCGTGAGAAGTGTAATGGCCATGAGTGCATGAGGGGCGTGAGGGTGGTGAGTGGCGTGAGGGCCATGAGTGCGTGAGGGGTGTGAGGGCAATGAAAGCGCGAGGGGCGTGAGGGCGGTGAGTGTGTGAGTGGCATGAGTGCGTAAGGGCCGTGAGGGGTGTGAGGGCCGTGAGGGCATTGAGTGCGTCAGGGGTGTGACAGCCATGAGTGCGTGAGGGGCGTGAGGGCGGTGAGTGCGTGAGGCTCCCTTCAGACGGAGCAACTTTCTCAGCAATTTTGGTGTTGCTGGCGGGTTGTTCCCTAGCTTACTTTAGATAAACACGAATTTCTGAGATTGGGTCTGGCTCGAAACAAGCGAGCATCTCTGGGCAATTCAAAGACGTTTGAAGCGGCTGCATCCAATCAGGGACGCGATATTTTCACGTGATACCTCGTGCCGGTCATGATGACAACAAAAAAAAATTGGTTCTGGTTTGAAAGTGATCGTTTTTGGAAATAAACTGTTCCGGAAAAAAGCATTAGTATTCTCAACAAGATTTAAATGCATAAAAACACGTTTATATCGCGTAATTGTGTGGCTAAATAGTTCAAGAAAAATAAAATTTCATGATGATGATGGCAAATTGCAGGAATTTGTTGCTGCGTGTGAACGCGGGTGGCCCGTATTGCTGGTGCTGTGACGTCAAGTTTCTGGGCAACATTGCCCCATCTAAAGCGGGCCTGAGTGGCGTGAGGGGTGCGTGAGGGCCATGAAGGCGGTGAGTGCGTGAGGGGTGTGAGGGCTGTGAGGGCCGTGCGGGCGGTGAGTGCGTTAGGGGCGTGAGGGCCATGAGTGAGTTAGGGCGGTGAGTGGCGTGAGGGCCATGATTGAGTGAGGGTCGTGAAGGCGTTGAGTGGCGTGAGGGTCATGACTGCGTGAGGGGTATGAAAGCGGTGAGGGGCGTGAGGGGCCATGAGTGCGTGAGGGCGGTGAGTGCGTGAGGGGCGTGAGGGCGGTGAGTGGCGTGAGGGCCATGAGTGCGTGAGGGGTATGAGTGCGTGAGGGCGGTGTGTGCGTGAGGGTTGTGAGGTTCAGTGAGTGTGAGTGAGGGGCTGAGGGTGAGTGTGACTGTGAGGATGAGGGTGAGTGAGGGGCTGAAGGTGAGTGTAGCTGCGAGGGTGAGGGTGAGTGAGGGGCTTAGGGGAGTGTGGCTGTGAGGGTGAGGGTGAGTGAGGGCGACCTAAAATGCCGACCTCTGCCACGGAGTAGTCGTACACGACCGCACGCCGGTACAATTCTCATCCAGATCAAAATGGGCAGGGATGGGGTTGAATCCAGGATCCCTAGGCCTTGTAGCGCGAGCTTTTGCTCTACACGCTCAAAGCTGTGATGCGGTAACACACTCAGCCATCGATCCCCCTATATGTTTCGGTAAAAGATATAGTCCTTGAACTTGTTGGAGAATCGAATAATATAAATTGAAGCATCTGTAGGTACATAAAAATGAAAAAAAGTAAAAAATAAATAAACAAGCTCGTTTTCACATCTGTCTTATGTATGTTTCTTTGTGTTTGCTAATGGTTTGGTATTTGTTTCCTTCCATCTTCTAACTTCTGACTCTCGAGACAGGACTCACGGGCAAAATTCACTTCAACGCCAACGGCGACCGTATAGCGGAGTACGCCCTAAAAGCTCTCGACCCGGCAACACTTGAGATGCAGGTAGGAGTCAGGGTGGCCTTTGGGTGACATAAAAGAAAAGCAGGTGCGCAACCTGAGGCGTGCTCTTTGGCGCCGCGACAGCCCGTGGCCGTGTACCACGGGGCCAAGCAGGTCCTAGTTCCCGTGGAAAACGTGACCATCTACTGGCCAGGACAACGAACGGAACCTCCTCGAGACGTGCCAGACTGCGGTTTCTTGGGCGACGCCCCCCACTGCCAGCGGAAAGGTGCGAAAATGTGTCCTTGCTGGGGACGGGTTCAAGCCAAGGTTTTCTTACGCCCCTGCAGAGTCGCCCACACTGCTGATCGTGGTCACCCTGGTGACGCTCCTCAGCTTCTTCGGCATGGCCATTGTCGCCCTCCTATTCTACAGGAGGGTGCAGCTGGAGACGCAACTAGCAAACTTCTGGTGGAGCATCAAGTGGGAGGACATCTCTTTTCCGGAGAGAAGCCGAAAGTCTGCTAGTAGCCTCGCCACCAACGACGAAGGCCTGTCCAAGGGCTCGCCAGTGAGACTCGACCGGTTCTAGTTTAACTGGTAGTTTTAATTGGACCATTGACTGGCGCCGACTAAAATCATTAGAGCCTTCAGTCCTCAATCACTGAGAGCAGAGTAGCATTTAAATAATTATAAGGTCACAGAACCTCAAAATGTCACAAACGCACCACTCTCGCGCTAAACATAAAGAGTAACCAAAGAGTCATCTTTTCCACCTTCAACCTGTCTTTTGTTTCTTTAATTTAAAATTAGTTTTCTCGTATGTTGTCACGACAGCCCCTGTATTTGAGTGTGGCCTACTCAAACCCATAGCATTGGAACTGACCCTGTGGCCTTGTAGACTTCAGAGTGTTCACCTAAAACAGAACGTGGTATACCTTGGTAGTCAAACAAATGTTAAGAAGACAAACAGAGCACTGATTACAACCCATTTATTAAATTATATTAAAATGAACTGTATACAGGAATTCCTTCTTGTTTCAGGTTCACTTTCTAAAGTCCACAAAGTCAAAGGCATTATGTCATGACCAGTATGTATAGAGGCGAATTTTACTATAGAAACTGCGACATGTTCGTAACCAAAAACGACTCGACTGGGCACAAACTCTCTAGTCGAACCGCGGTCCCTTAGAAAGGCTTAAGATGAGACGGATGTTATGGCGTGGCAGCTTGGTGGCGTGTTCATTCATAGCACTCAAGAGACTTTCGCAGGTGACAGGAGGCAATAAATAAACGCAGTCTTTTTACAGCGGCGAATGGCAGGAGGGCGTTTCTAAAACCTCGCGAGATCCCTTCATGTCTCAAAGTTATCGATACCAATGAGCTCTCACGTTGGCGCGTTGCTGGCTCTCCGAAAAGCACATAGACTTACCTTTTTCAGAGATTTGGCGGCGCCTGCTCCACGCAAGGTGGATATGGGGACGTCCACGTCGGCATCTACAAGGTGAGACCGCGATGTAATACTATATGGTATTTGTAACTCCAACGCCCTAAAGATGGCGGGGAGGTAGTTCCAAGACGGCGGAAGAGACGGGGATAGATTTTGCATGCGCCCGCTCGCTGACGCTGGTCAGCGTGTTAATTAATTTGGCTACAAATGCGAAACGGTCAGTACAGGAGCGTACCACAGGTGACGTAGATGATGGCGTGCGTTCGAAAAACCAACATGTTTTTTTTTTTTCTGTTTTCTTTTAAGTTGCGGAAACATCACAACATTTGTGGGATTCTGTGGTAGGCGAGCGTGTTTGGGGCGCCGGTCACAATATTGTGTATGGCAAAATACTTTTGTAGGTGGTTAAAATATCGTGGTGTTTCCGGTGTACCTGGCTATTCCTCTAAAACGTTAGCCGTACATGCCATGGCCATCAAGTTTCGGTAGAGCAGCGTTCACAGTGTTGATGTCTCTGCCAGAGGCTCCCAGCTCACTGCACACCGTCGCGGTTTTAGTTCATCGCAACACGTGATAAATCTGCGCCAAGGTTACTAATAGGGAATTTTAGCATAGCGTAACCGCTGGCTACCGTGCGGTGAGGCATTGCGACCGAACGTTCGCGCTGCACCTTTGAAGAATGATTTCCAGCGCGCGCCAGGAGCGTTGCCGTGCCAGTAGCCTATGTTAAAGCTATATATTGCCGCGCGCCAAGTAGGCAGCGCGGCCGTAGCCTAACGGTTATCGCGCTTGCCTCCCACGCGAAGGGCCAGGGGTCGATTCCTGGCCGCGGCTATGCATTTTTGTTAACACTGTAATGTGATGTTCTGGTGAGATCGAGAACCGTCTAGCTGATTCGAGGTCAGAATTTTCTACGCGTCGAACCTTCTACGTCGAATGCTCCAGAAGCCAACGTGTGTACAAAAGCGGCTCCGCAGGCAAGCCGGAGTCAGTTTCGCACCAGCGTTCGACTTTGCTGCTACGCCGACTTCGACGCCCGCGACGCTCTATTATTATCTTTTGTACTCGTTTATTTTTGGCACAAGTTCGCCACATTAAACGTTTATTTCTTTCTGTTTATTTCCTGTTTTTTTTTTGGTCACCACCCGTGACATTTTGGTGGAGGTGCGGGTTAGCGCATGCCCGCGCAGCGTTCCCCTCCCAGGGCCCGCAGTGCAAGCCCGATTCCGAGCCCGGTGAGAACACCACTCGACGCGGAACCTGAAACTCGGACCAGTCGCCGCACCCAAGGTCTGCACCCGGAATACGGACTTCTGCCACCCAGGACCAAGCAGCCGACGAAGCCGACGATGGACGGCCAGCAGTCACAGACCCCGGCCGCTCCTGCCTTCATCTACCTGCCAGTCGCACCCCGGACTCCGACGCCATTCCACGGGGACGCCCACGAAGACGTCGAGGACTGGCTTCAACAGTACGAGCGGGTGGCCCAGCACAACCGATGGACGGACGACCAGCGCCTGCAGAACCTTTACTTCGCGCTCGAAGGAACGGCCAGGCACTGGTTCGAAAATCGGGAGACATCATTGATCTCGTGGACCGCCTGCAAGAATGAGTTGAGGCGAACTTTCACAAACCAGTATCGACGGGAGAGGGCCGAGGACCTTCTTCGAATGAGAACCCAGGGCGCAAACGAGACCATCACCAGTTTCATCGAGGATGTCCTGCGCCTGGTCACTCGCGCCGACCCTCAAGCCACCGACGAAAAGAAGTTGCGGATCCTGATGCGAGGCGTACGAGATGACATTTTCGGAGGCCTCGTCCGCAACCCGCCGACCACCGTCGAAACGTTTGTAACAGAGGCGACCAACATTGAACGGGCCCTGCAAACACGAGCCGCTCACTTCCACCGAGCTCCTGCCGTCGCTGCACCCACGCCGTCAAGCTGCGCCCTCAGCACCAATATTCCGGGGATCCGAGAAATAGTCCGGGACATCGTCCGTGAAGAACTGAAGAAGCTGATACCTGCCGCCGAACACCCAGCATCACTCTCGATCGCCGAGATTGTTCGGGAAGAGGTTCAGCAAGCGCTCCAGCCAGACGCTCTCGCCGACGCCGCACCGAAACCACCAGCTGTGACCTATGCCGCCGTTGTTCGTCGTCCGCAGCCTCCTATTGCTCAGCAGTACCCAGCTGCACCCCAACGAGAAGTCTCTTCGCCGCAGTACGCGCCGCGCCAAGAGCAGCGTGGACTTCGAAAGACCGACGTGTGGCGCACGGATGACGGACGCCCGGTGTGCTTCCACTGCGGGGAGGCTGACCACATTTACCGGAGGTGCCCCTACCGCCAGCTCGGCCTGCGAGGATTCGCTCCAAACGACAGTCGACCTCGTTTTGGAGAACGACCAAGGGACATCGAAGAATACCTCCGTCGCCCTCCGTCACCAGCGCCCACCGCACCACGAGGTTCCCGTTCTCCATCCCCCCGACGTTCCGCGTCGCCTTTCCGTCGGTCGCGCCGTGACAGCCTGTCCCTCCTATCCCGTCGGGAAAACTAAGTGCGGCAACGCCTGGAGGTGCCGTTGCCGAAGACGACCCGAGTAAAGAGCCTCCAAGAACGCCGGAGCGCTCCCACTCTCCCGACGTCACGCATCGCTACGACGCCCCTGCAACGGTGTCCAACAACCTAAACGTCGTCATCGACGGCCACGACGCATCGGCACTCGTGGACACCGGAGCAGACTACTCAGTCCTGAGTGGGAGGCTCTCCCGCCGCCTTCGAAAAGTCATGACGCCGTGGGAAGGACCCCAAATACGAACCGCCGGAGGACATCTCATCACACCAGTCGGGAGATGCACTGCTCGCGTCGAGGTCCACGGTGAAACGTGCCCTGTCAAGTTCGTCGTTCTGCAAGACTGTTCGAGGGACGTTATCCTCGGAATGGACTTTCTCTGCGAGTATGGCGCCGTCATCGACCTCGGAACAAACCGGCTGACGCTACGAAAACCTGCTCCACCAGCGGAGGAACCCCAAGCGGCGTCACCCACGGTCCGAGTCCTCGCAAACCACGTAAACCTACCACCGCGGTCGAGTGTTTTCGTACTTGTCGGGATCGATGAAGCTTCCTCTGGCGAAGTTCTTCTCGAGGGAAGCCTCCAATTGCTCCTGGGAAGAGGCATAGGCGTCGCAAGGGGAGTAGCTGAACTTCAGGATGGGCGGACTGTGGCCCTCGTGACGAACTTCCGAAACGAAACGCAACACCTCACGAAAGGTGCAGCCGTGGGCCACGTCGAGAAACTCCGAAACCCCGCCGAAATCACCGCGATTACTGACGAATCCTCGACGCCCCAGCAAGACAGTACGTCGCCAGCGCAGCTCGACATTGACCCTAAGCTTCCGGACCCTAAATGGCGTCAGCTGGTTAACCTCCTCGCCGAATACCGCGACTGCTTTGCGACGTCGTCGAAGGTGCGCCAGACCGCGGTTGCCAAGCACCGCATCGTTACCGAGGACGACGCGCGCCCTGTGCATCGATCGCCGTACAGAGTCTCCGCTAAGGAAAGGGAGGTGATCTATCAGCAAGTTCAAGAGATGCTGAATGACGACATCATCCAAGCTTCAAGCAGTCCATGGGCCTCTCCAGTCGTGCTGGTTAAGAAGAAGGACGGAACGCTTAGGTTCTGCGTGGACTACCGGCAGCTGAACGCGGTGACGAAGAAAGACGTCTACCCACTTCCCCGCATCGACGACACGTTAGACCGGCTGCGCCACTCTCGATACTTCTCATCGATGGACCTGAAGAGCGGCTACTGGCAGATCGAAGTCGACGAACGGGACCGAGAGAAGACAGCTTTCGTCACGCCGGATGGGCTGTACGAGTTCAAGGTGATGCCCTTCGGACTATGCACGGCGCCAGCAACTTTCCAGCGTGTCATGGACACCGTACTGGCAGGACTGAAGTGGCAGAGTTGTCTCGTCTACCTTGACGACGTCGTAGTATTTTCAGCTGACTTCGACGAGCACTTGAGACGACTCCGAGCTGTTCTTCAAGCCATTCAGACCGCCGGACTCACACTCAAGCCGTCGAAGTGCCGGTTCGCCTATGACGAACTGAAGTTCCTTGGCCACGTGGTTAGTAACGAAGGCGTCCGCCCAGACCCCGAGAAGACTCGCGCCGTCGCGGCATTTCCAGCGCCGACAGATAAGAAGGCCGTGCGAAGATTCCTTGGACTTTGTGCCTATTATCGACGCTTCGTTCGGGATTTCGCAAAGATTTCCGCACCACTTACGAATCTCACGAAGGACGCCGAGAAGTTCGAATGGGCCGAGGAGCAACAGCAGGCATTCGACGAACTGAAACGACGACTCCAGACTCCTCCTGTGCTTGGACATTTCGACCAGGATGCGGAAACAGAAATTCACACGGACGCAAGTAACGCGGGACTGGGCGCAGTACTAGTCCAAGTGCAAGAAGGCATCGAGCGAGTCATCGCCTACGCAAGTCGGACATTGTCCAAGGCGGAAAAAAATTACTCCACGACTGAGAAAGAATGCCTTGCGGTCGTCTGGGCAATAACGAAGTTTCGTCCGTACTTGTACGGGAACCCGTTCCGTGTAGTCACGGACCACCACTCGCTCTGCTGGCTTGCGAACCTGAAGGACCCGTCAGGACGCCTCGCTCGATGGAGTCTTCGACTACAAGAGTTCAACATGACAGTGGTCTATAAGTCAGGCCGCAAGCACAGCGACGCCGACTGCCTGTCCAGAGCCCCCGTCGAAACCCCTTCCGGCTGCAGCGACGACAATGACGACGAGTGCTTCCTAGGAGCAGTGAACACCGACGATATGGCACGACGTCAACGGGACGATCCTGAGCTGCGCGCATTAATCGAGCACCTGGAAGGGGGCAGGAGTACCGTGCCACGTGTCTTCTCACGAGTACTGCCGACCTTCGCCATCCGACAAGGTGTACTCTACAAAGAGAACTTCGGCGACAACAACACACCGTGGTTGCTGGTAATCCCGAGTGACCTTCGAGAGGAGATCTTCCAAGCCTGCCACGACGACCCGACATCCGGACACCTTGGTTACAGCCGGACACTGGCCCGTATTCGTGAAAAGTATTACTGGCCGAAGCTCCCCAAGACCGTCCACCTATACACACGATCATGCCACGAGTGCCAGCGACGCAAGAAACCGCCGACGAGGCCGGCCGGACTTCTGCAGCCCATTTCTCCTCCAACTACACCCTTCCAGCAGATCGGAATGGATCTACTTGGTCCTTTTCCGCCTTCGACGTCGGGGAACCGCTGGATCATCGTCGCCACAGATTATCTCACGCGGTACGCCGAAATGAAAGCTCTTCCTTCAGGGACTGCTGTGGAAGTCGCCAAGTTTTTCATCGAGTCCATCGTCCTCCGGCACGGCGCACCCGAAGTTCTGATTACAGATCGCGGATCTTCGTTCATGGCCCAGCTGACGCAAGAGATCCTTCGTCTCAGTGGCACCGGCCATCGTCGAACCACTGCATACCACCCGCAGACCAACGGGCTGACCGAGCGACTCAACAAGACAATCGCCGATATGATCTCTGTGTACGTCGACGTAGAGCACAAGACGTGGGACGAGGTGTTGCCCTACGTCACGTTTGCCTACAATACGGCGGTTCAGGAGACCACTGGATTCACCCCTTTCCAGCTGGTACATGGTCGGAAGGTAACGACCATGCTGGACGCAATGCTGCCCCATGAGCCATCTGACAATGAGAGCGACGACGCCCAGGCGGTTGCTCAACGTGCCGAAGAAGTCCGCCAGCTCGCCCGACTCATGATTCAAGACCAGCAACGCGTCGACGCGGGCCGCTACAACCTTCGTCGCAGGGACGTTCACTTCCAGCCCGGAGACAGGGTGTGGGTGTGGACGCCCATCCGTCGCCGCGGCCTCAGTGAGAAACTGCTGAAACGGTACTTTGGACCATACAAGGTACTTCGTCGCCTCGGCGAGCTGAACTACGAGGTGATGCCCGACGGTACAAGAACATCATCACGCCGCCCACCACGACCTGAAGTCGTCCACGTCGTGCGCCTGAAGCCGTACTACGCTCGATAGGACTGTGAATCTTATGTGTTTCAAGTGACTCTTTAGTTTACCGTTCTTTTTATGTGCTTTGTTTTGTTTTGAAATGCATCGGGGCGATGCACTTTTAAGGGGGGAGTAATGCCGCGCGCCAAGTAGGCAGCGCGGCCGTAGCCTAACGGTTATCGCGCTTGCCTCCCGCGCGAAGGGCCAGGGGTCGATTCCTGGCCGCGGCTATGCATTTTTGTTAACACTGTAATGTGATGTTCTGGTGAGATCGAGAACCGTCTAGCTGATTCGAGGTCAGAATTTTCTACGCGGCGAACCTTCTACGTCGAATGCTCCAGAAGCCAACGTGTGTACAAAAGCGGCTCCGCAGGCAAGCCGGAGTCAGTTTCGCACCAGCGTTCGACTCTGCTGCTACGCCGACTTCGACGCCCGCGACGCTCTATTATTATATTTTGTACTCGTTTATTTTTGGCACAAGTTCGCCACATTAAACGTTTATTTCTTTCTGTTTATTTCCTGTTTTTTTTGGTCACCACCCGTGGCAAAAAATGCCATGGTCATCATTTGGTCACCACCCGTGACATGCCATGGCCATCAAGTTTCGGTAGAGCAGCGTTCACAGTGTTGATGTCTCTGCCAGAGGCTCCCAGCTCACTGCACACCGTCGCGGTTTTAGTTCATCGCAACACGTGATAAATCTGCGCCAAGGTTACTAATAGGGAATTTTAGCATAGCGTAACCGCTGGCTACCGTGCGGTGAGGCATTGCGACCGAACGTTCGCGCTGCACCTTTTAAGAATGATTTCCAGCGCGCGCCAGGAGCGTTGCCGTGCCAGTAGCCTATGTTAAAGCTATATATGCAAGAACTGTATGGTAGAGCAATCGGTGCGTTTTGGGGTTCTATTTATTGTTCTGTCAAAATAAATATTCAAATATAGAGTATACTACCATCTGTATACCGTGTTATTCGCATCGTGGCTACCCGTTTTGCCAAAACTGCCCGTTCTAAGCAAAACTCACGATCGGCACAAAGAGGCACTTAAAAAATGCTACGAACATTTCTTTATTTGCCTTTCTAAATAACTGAAAGCAGGTACACGTAGTCTGTGTTTTTGTTTGGAAGCGCTTGGAGCAAACTGCCATGCTTCTTGTCACGGTCTTTCAGCGCATAAATTGCGAACCCCTTCCCGATGTTGCGCTAGCAGTTTGGCAGTTCTCCCCTACTTTCTGGAAATAATAAACCTTTCGTAGATTGCACGCAAGAGCCTCGCACTACTAGCGGTAGCTTTTGCCGTCAGGTTGAGCACAGGATGTGCTTGCGACCGCAGGACCCGAAAACCGCAGCGTATGCGATCTACGAAAAGTTCCTAATAAAATTAGACATCCCGGTCCCTTCGTGCAACGCTGTTGCGAAGAGGACCACAACAATTCCTATTTTGACGCAATCGCTTTTTCTACAAAAAATGCATGATACACGAACACGCTGACCAGAATAGCTGCGCCGAGGCCGACAGTCCCTGGGGTGACAGTCCCTGCCACCGTCTCCGCCGCCGTCCCTGCCTCTCTGGTTCTTCGTCCGTCCGCGAGAGGGCGACCGGTGGGCAGGACTTGCGAATATAGGTGGGGACACCGCGCGCGTCGCAGCTGCCGTATTTGATATTATGCCTTCTCGCTTGGTTGCAAGTGGCGCCACCAGATGTCTCATCGATAAGCGGCTAGTGGTAGCCTGTCGCGGGCCCGGTTTCCCATGCATCTTTATGGAAGATATGCATGTTTCTAAAGTTGTTTTCTGTGCGGGCCGAGTCATGTAGAACTTAACCCTTGCGCTATGCCTGTTTCTTGGACACAGCTTCGCCAAGCTTAGTTCCTCAATGGCAGTAAGAACAGTTTTATGAGGGCGTTGAAGCGGAGAGATCTTTGGCGCGCTGTACAAGCCAGCGTCCTTCGAGGTCAGAGCAGACGCTCCAAACAAAAAGCGCTTGCGTTCAGGTGCCATGGCAACGAGACGCTTTTTTCGCTTTTGCTTGTTTGTTTTTTCTTAGTTGCGACGTTGGCCGGTGGAGACGCTGTCGGCATAGGACTTTATCTGGCCGATAGGACTTTATCTGGTCGATCAGGCGAGGATACACAGCATGCTGTGTGTCTTTGCCTAAAAAGTATAATGGGCGAGGCGTTTGACTTTCTGATGGGGCCCGCATTGCATCTCCTACCCTCACCCTAAACAAAGCAGAAAAAAGGTGGTAAGGTACAAAAAGGTCCAGGCGAACGGTGCATTTTATAAAGTAGAGTTTTTATTAGTTTTTTTAGGGGCTCCGTAAAAGTGCACATTTCTGAAGTGGAAACGTAAAAGGAAACCGCTAGGGAGATATATAGAGCCGAAGTTCAGCGCCTTTTAAACCACAACGGTGCCCCTTCTGGCGGCACAATGCATTTTTACCTGAAATTCAGGGGCTGCCGATCAATTGCGTCAGTAGCATGCGACACACGACGGACCGGATAAATTAGGAAGCTTTATTTCTGCACCTGGGATATAGACGATCAAACGCAGAAATTCATGGCAACAGAAATACATATGTGATCAATTTCTGGTCGTTGCTGGATCAGGGCACCGAAACACTTCGCCTGAAACTCACGCCTTATATCTTTGGTCTTCTGCTTCGAGACTTTTCGGCTCTCAACGACGTGGTCCATCGCAGGGCATGACGGTGGCTGTGAAGATGATCCGCATCAGCAAGTTTACAGCCACCCGGACCATCCTGCTGGAGCTGAAGCAGGTAGGAACTCGGCGCCTAGAGTCCCGACCGGACAAAGCCGAGGGTTTGAATGATGGCGTAGCGCGTGCCTCTTCTACCACGACAGATGAGGGACGTGACCCACGAGAACCTGGTTCGTCTCGTGGGGCTATCCGCCGAGGACCCCAACGTGGGACTCGTCATGGAGTACTGCCCTCGCGGCAGCCTCAGGGTACGTCGCCAGTTCTTTCCCCACCGGAGTGGCCTAAGCGCGGCCCCGGTGAATTGTATGATGAACCGAGGCTGTGTTGAGCCAAAGTTTAGGCGCGTTGCCGGTTTGAACCCGTAGTTCGAGACAGCATTGAAAACTATTGGCGCGACGCTTAAAAAGCACCGATTGTTTTGACACCGCAGTAGTTGTGTTGACATCCCCAACTTTCTGGGTCATCAACGCCTCGGCGCATGCACTAAAATTAAAATTTCAACTGAACAAAAAACATCGCAATGTTCCCCGGGAATATCTAAAATAAAAATTACGGCTCTTTTCTTTTTTTTTTTCATTGAATCATTTACCGCATGTGGTTAGATGGCCCACATCCATCAAAGTGTCAATTTCTGCTTTTCGTAACAAAACGTCGTTATGTTCCCGAGGTCTGAAATTGCCTGGGTATCATAGAAGGCAAATCAATTAGAAATTTGAAGAAGAAGAAGTAAATAGATTTTTATTCCACGGAATGTCCCAGAAAGTTGATTATGGAACGCTTTTAATAAACGTACGCAGGATTTCAGTATTAGTGTATTAATACTAATAACGCAAAAACACGCTATAGGGGAGGCAATGTGGAAAGAAATGGACACTAAAAAGCGAAATTTAATTGACATCATCAGGGTCAAGTGACCATGTCACGTAACAAAGCGTGTTGTTTTGCGTGGCATGTAGCGTAACCATGTTACGCGGTGAGGTCCCCGTGACCACGTCACGTGATTGTCACGTGGACCACGAGACGTCGTGCGACATGAGTGTCTCGGAATAAAGACGGTCGGACCGACTTTAACGACCTTCAAGCTTATTCTACGAACAAGAATTTCGTCAGAAATGACAGAAATGGGCTGCAGTAGTTTTAGTCTCTCACCGCCAGCAGCGAAAGACTGGCGCACAACGTGCGCCGTTCTGTGACTTCTCCTAGTAACGTTTCGAATGACTTCGATTCCCGCCTCCAGCGCGAACCTCCTACTTTCGATTGTACTTCGGCCTCTCGCGAGCTTAGAGCGCGCACGCGCGATCAAAGCACGGGGAACGAGCTCGTACTGAAAACTGGTCATCTCAGAGACGCCCTGTGCTTCTTGCCTGTCTATGACTGTGCGGAGCGCAAGTTCGTCTGCTTCTTTTGCAGGGCTTGTGTTGACGTCAGAACACCGAGCTCTGATTGGTTCTGAATGAAGGACAGTGGGAAGACCTCAAGGCAGCTTGCTTCGAGGTCTACCCACTATCCTTCGATTGGAGCCAATCATAGCTCGGCGTCTTTCTGACGTAACCGCAACCCCTGCGCTAGAAGCAGAAACGGCTTGCTCTCCGCATTGGGAACGAGCTTTTTCGGTGGCAGCCTTTTCTGGTTCTTGCCCTTAACGTAAAGACCAGGATTTTCAGTTTCCAACGTAAAATTCGAGAGTTAGCTTTAAAAAAAAAATAAAAAAAGATATGGCGGAAGCTTGGGATCATCACTTTCTTCAACCAACAGCGTCAAAATTTACTGTGACATTGGCTTTTATCTCCATCGATGAATGCAGAACTAATCCTACCAGAGACGTCATAGTGAGCGCTTGAGAGAGCGTGGAATGCCGGCCACAGCAACGCTTTTGGCTCGCGCGTCGTCAATGTTAGAAACATTTTCTACATACCATCAGAATACTTTCGGATTGGCTCAACTCGTATTCAGTGGAATCTGCCAGGTATTCTTTCGTCGGCTCGTGCCGCCAGTGTCAATCACAACCACGTGTCTGAGTTACAAACGCTCAGATCACGTTTTTGTCTCGTTTCTTACTAATTGATTCTTCGATGTCAGACATAAATAAGTGTTTTCATCAGTACCCAATGCGGAGGCTCCAGGAGATTGTTTTTCAGGAGTGCTTTAATTTAAATCGAGGTATGAAAATCCACGTGATGTAAGTTAAGATTTAAATCCTGACTTAAGTCAGAATTTAATTAATTTTGATTTGTTCTTTTGCTTTCTGCCAGCCCGTTTATATTTGAAACGTTTTTGGCAAAGAGCGAGAAACAGTCAGCAGTGCTAGGAGTTTAATTTCATAATGCAGAGATCAAAATAATAAATTACTATTCTGATGACATTGCTATTTTTTGCATGGATAAGAAAAATGTTACTGACGCGATAACGTTCAGCAAATATTTTTGCAAGGCTAGCGAAGCAGTTATCAACTGGAGAAAGTGATTTGAAGGTCACTGACGTATATAGGGGGGAAGCCTATGGGGCTTCAGTTCCTCCCCCCCCCCCCCCCCTCTCCTTTGACTAAAAAATTCCTGGATACACCACTGTTGAGGGTGTAATACTGGGAAACAGTGCAGTGTCAGTACCATCTATGTGAGTCGTTGCTAAGTTTTCGAAACAGTCAAAGGCATTGGTCGAGATTCGGGGGTCGCCACCAATAAAGATATTACTATTAGTACTCGTATTAGTATTACCAGATCCCTCCAATACGCTAATGGTCACCTTCTCCGCAACCCCATGGGAAAGCTTGGTACGCAACCACTCGCTGCTCTGGCGTCGACAAGCGGAAGAGAGCCGTCAATCAAGCCAGCACCACTGGAAGTCCGACAACAAGGAAACGTCATCAAAATTTTAAACTCACTCTGATTGACCCACCTCTGGATCGTAGTGACGCGTCATCGCAATCACAGCAGCGTCTTCAACTCTCTAATTGTGCAAGTCCCCCAACAAGAGTCGAACTCAGCACAGCACGACGCACTGCTCCATCATCAAGAGACGGTGTTTTTCGTTTTGTTTATTGTTGTGCCAAGGAAGTGACTTCTGGAGCGGTCACTCTTTGCTACGCTAAAAGCGAAAAGCGTGTGGGTAACCGCGTGACGATGTCACGTGACCATGTCACGTGATTTTGACATCGCGGATAAGATTTGAGACAGCCGCGGAAGATTGAGAAACCGAGCGAAACCAACATATTCTGCGTATACCGACTTCATCCGTATAGGATCAAAGTAAATCGAGCCTATCAAAGCACTAAAATATGTTACTTTTTATGAATACGTAGCGAAGGTCACACGAAGGGTTCATTTTGGGCTGGATATCATCCGAAGAGGGTCACGCTCGAATGCGACAAAAAAGCGTTACACACAAGCAAAGGCCACATAAAGCATTCACAGCCCATATCAGGCAATGCATAAGCATCCAAAGAGAAGGCATTTATGGCTATGATTTATTTATTTACTTGTTTATTTATATCTTCAAGGTCCTGCCATACGGCATAATGCAATATGGGCTTCTGAAAATTCCGATTGTAAAAAAGTAACAAATATATTCAAGAAGGATATATAAACATACATAGAAAGGAACAAAAGTTGAGCATAGAAAAAAAAAACAAAAAAACTAGCAACACGTTATTACTTTAGTATTATTAGAACCGCACATATTCCAAATATTTGCTTAGCAGCTCTCTAAAAGTATCAATATTGATAGCAGTGACTATGTGGTCGGGCAAAGAGTTCCATTCCGTTATTGTTAAGGGCACCGAAGAGTTCTCAAAGGAAGTAGTGGACACGAAGATGGGCTATATTTTGCAGGTGTTGTCTAATCTTGGAAAATATAAAATGGGAGATGGTAGCAGTGTGTTTTTAAGAGCTGGATTGTGACGGTAAATTTGGTAATACATTGTTAATCGATATAGTTTTTCGGGTTAGTTCTGGGAGATTTGCTCGCTGACGAAATCCAGAGATGCTGGTGCAAAAAAGGTCGTCAGAATAAATAAATCATAAAGCTATTTTTTTTTGGACTAGTTCTAATTCTTCAGTCAGATATATTTGCCACGGAGTTCATACAGATGGTAAATATTGTGACTTGGGGCGTAGGAGGGTGAGGTATATGATGCGTTTAACGTTAGGAGGGTCTAGTTCTAAACTGCGTTGCAGAAAACCATGTGCGCTGTTTGTCTTACCGAAGACGAGGTACGAAGAGGAAGATCATTGACACTGGGTTATTTATGACGGTGTATTGAAGTCGATTGGGAAGAAATTCGGAAATCCAGGTAACGATGAAGGGATCAATTTTTGAAATTGTAAAGTTTCATGATAACGAGGTTATGAGGCACCTTTTCAACTGATTATGAAAAGTCTAGGAAGATAGCATCAGTTTGTTGTTTACGTTCCAAATTATAATTAATGTTATGCACGAATTTTTTAAAAAAAGGCGTGTTTCGCATGACAGCGTCTTTCTAAATCCGTGCCAGTTTTTGTTTAGAGAGCTATTTGACTCAATGTAACTAATGATTTTATAAATATTACGTGTTCAAATGTCTTCGATGAAATACTGGTGAGTTATACAGGGTGATAATTATCAGGTGAATTTCGACCTCCGGTCTCATCCACAGGGACCACACGGCTAATTTTCCAGTCAAGATGTACGCTACCAGAAGCGCGATTCTCGAACGCTGTCGGTTAGATATGATATATGTTTAGTGATTTTATAGATTTTGGAGTTTATATACTCGTCACCGTAACTTAAAGCAAGTTTCTGATTTTTGTTGGCTTTGACAACACCACTGTAGACAATTGGATCTCTTCCATTTGCTGGTAATTAAGAATAGAATGCTCCGCAGCAATGTTAAGATTTTGGTTAGTAAACACGAAACACGAGCGTGTTGGTGCATAGATAAAGACTTCTTTTCGTGAAGCATTTTTGCTTATACAGCTAGGGACAGCTTCGTTTCGGGCAATTGCGCTTTTCTCCGATGTTGATGAAACCGACTTGGAAGTTATATTTCGGGGTCTATCGGCATACACCGAAAACGAGGAACCCTACTTATGATATGATCCTGTTATTACAGCGGAGCTGCATATGACTCGTTGGTCGGACCTTTTCGTGTCGGCGTCCTCACGGAAAAAAAGAAAACCGTCAGCGATTGAAGCGAAGAGTGCATACATCACGCATACAACATACAGCACAGCATTAGTTTTTTTTAGATGATTTTACAGTCTATTGAAAGCCC